TGTCGAACCATTTCCCTTTGCATTTTTTTCTCTTTTTGATTGCGTCTGCAAATCCACATTACTTTTCGACTTGCTTGCAACTCTTTCAGTCATTCTTTGTTCATAAAATTCAAGCGTCCCTTGAAGCTCTTCCTTTATCAATGTTGACAGATATTTTGACTCTTCTATGACTACTACCACGTGGTCGAACTTTGGAGCCAATGACCTCAAGATCTTTGCAACAACTAATCTTGACGTCAACACTTCTCCATATACCTTGATTTGATTCACCAAAATAGTAACCATGGTAAAAAAACCTGTTATGCTTTCACTTTCTTCCATCTGAAGCAATTCATACGTCTTTTTGTGAGTTTGTAACTTGACCTCTTTCACCTTCTCTCCACCTCTAAACGATTTCTCCAAGATTTCTCATGTTTCTTTCGCTGATTCTACATCACTGACCTTTTCAAAATTGTCTGGATTAACACATTGATGAATTATAACGAGAGTTTTATAATCTTTCTTCTTCAATTTTTTGTATGCAACTTTTTCTCCATCTGTTTGCACCAATTCTCATGATTCTGGCCATTCAGAATTGGGAGACTCGCTGGAAAATGCTCGTTCGAATGATTCATCACCATCGTGTTTTGCTTCCCACAAATCACTCAACCAATACTTTAGATACCAGATGTTGGAATTGAGTAATTCCGAATCAATCTTGATGAATAAGATTCAATCACACTGATCGAATTCCCTCTTGTTCTTCACGCTTCACTCGAGTGAATCAACCAACCTCGGTTGTAAGATGATTATCTCTACACAATAACAATGAAAGAAAAATTGAGTAAGAAAGAAAATTAGGGTTTGACGAAAATTGAAATAGAAAAAGATGATTTTTGCAGAGTCTTTCTGCCCACAACCTGTGGAAAATCTCGTTAATTTTACAACTGCAAGTGATTACAAGATTATTATTCAAAACAGGAGTTACTCCCTCTATTTACAATATGGCTAGTTTGCTCTCTAAGCTAAAGCCCAAAAATTACAAAAACCCAAAATATCTATTTTGGTCTAAGTCAAAATTTTGTGTCAAACAACCTGCTTCAATCAACACTTCGATATATAATACTACTCGACACACATTACATATTTCGACACATCCTTATTTCTGTCGAGCACTACCTACTTTGACACAAGAAATTACAATCTCAACACAACAAGCCTACCTATTACTTTTCCAAAAAAAAAGTCTACCTATTAATGTTTTTGGCCCTTCTTCTTTTTGCTTGGACTTGAACCATGTACAACAAGACTACGAGAGAGGTGTGATCTGTTGCACCTAAGCTTCCATATTTGTGCTTTCTTCGAGCTTCCTTCTGTTCAGGTGACTCTCCACTAATTGTGGAGGGCAATGAGATAAACAGAACCTTTGAGATGTTGCAATCAGAGTTTAAAGACAATGTCAACAGGCAACTGTAAAGGCATGAATGATGTGTCCATAGTGAAGCCCATTTTGAAATTTTTTAGAAGAGCAATTCAGAATGTAATCTTTAGCCAACTGCGTTAGTCAACTCAGTAACATGCTCTGCAATAGAAACACATAATACTGTAGCACAACAAATGACAGAAATTGTTCATGCAACATAAAATCCATCCAGCAAGGACCCCAAATCAAACCCAAAAGGTAATTCCCCTAGACTCTTTAGTCTAATATCCCCGTCCACTGATTGAACGCAAAGCACCTTCAAAGTTCTTCATATAAACTTTTCATGGACCCCAATTTTTGGTTTATGAATTTAGCCACAAAATCTGAGGGAAAGGGTCATTTGTCTTTTTTCTATCAAGAACTAGTAAAATATCCCGCACGGATAAATTTGTTATATCATGTAGTTATTATTTATATAAATATACTATGAGATGTTGGATCAAATTCTAGTATAGTTGAAGGGTAACTTTTGGTTCGACAGGGATTAAACATGAGATCGAAGTCTGTTCACATGTTGTTGTCGGAGTAATGTGTGTTATAGTCGAAGTTTATTCTAACATGCATTAGTCAATATTGCTGGGGTTGTTAGCATGTTGAATTGGGCATTGCTTGTAAGCTCAATTGTTTAAGTTAACTTGTACCATAAGTTAGTTTGTAATGGATAATTATTAAAAAACTCATTAGGTTAGTATGTTATTTTTATTGTAAATAGGATGTTAGTTTCTCAATCTTGGAATAAGGAAAATAGAAAGATAAAATCCTAATTCAAGTGAGAGAGAGACTATTTTATTATTCTTATATACTTGTAATCTTGTTTTAAGAGAAAGAAAAGAATATCAGTTTATAATTAATCTTTGTTGTTCCCTGTCGTTTTATCTTGTCTTCTTTGTTAATCCTAACTCTTGTGTGTTTATTGATAATAAATTTTTTTTTTATATTTTGTTCAAAGACATCTGATTCACAAGATATACTTGTAAAAATTAAATATTAAAGAAGAAGTTAGACTAAAAATTAATAATTAACAATAATTGAATTAAGGCATTATAAACTATTTAAACAAAAGACAATGTATAATTGAAGCACTGTCAATGATCATTATAAGTAGAAATAGATATTATAAAATATAGTATGTGTTACAACAATTTGTTATCAAGTTCCAACAATTTACATATAAAATCTTAATCTTCAAAATTAACTTAATGCTTTGATCTGTAAAATGAGAAAATAGTCTTATTAAATAAAAACTCATAATCAACAATGGAGTTGTTGTTGATGGCAACTTCATCTAGTATAATGGAACTGTTATATAAGTTTGTACTGCTGTGAATATCATAACAGGTTAAAAAGGAATAGTTGAGGCAGTAGTTATGTGAATAAATATGCTATGCCTGAATGCTTGCTTGAAACATGCACATAAAGGAATCTATGAAAACAATAATGCAGATTGTAAAAAAAGTGAGGCGACAATCATGTGAAAAAATATGCTATGTCACAATAAAATTCAAAAGTCATTAGTTACAAACTTATAACATTAATGACATTGAGAGTATTCCATTGAATATATCATTATTGTGAAGGGGTAGCAATGATGAAGATTGTGAAGCAGTATGACATTGTGACATGTGACACTACTTCAAACTCAAAGCTATGATACAAATTGAATAAAGTGAAAAAACCACTACTTACAAACTTATAACAATGATGAAGAATGAAAAAAATCTGAAGCAGTATGACATTGTCACATTGTGTCACTGCTTCAAACTCAAATAACCATTATTTGAGATCAATTACTTGTTTGAAGTTATAAACTCCATTTGAATTTCAAACTCAAGTAGATAAAATTTAAATAGAGACCACTTCACTTTAAAATCAACAGTAGATTTAATCATCACAAAAGAAAAAAAACAATCAAAAAGTATTATGTAATCAAAATATAGTCAATTAAGCAATTTTCGCCAATAAATTCAAAAGAGAACTAATATTCTAAGCGCAATTTGAATGTCAAATATTAAATTGTCAATCTTTGAGACTCACAACTGCAATTTGAATATACAACAACAACAACTAAAATTCATCTCATAGCCGCAACCCAAATATGACAAGGGGAATTGAAAACTTAATGTTTTAATGAATTCTTCTTTTGTAGGCACAAACATTCTTCTTCAATCTTCAACAATTTGTACCCATTTTGGCACAACTCATATCTTTGTTCTCAAGGCATTAAAAGCAAAAAATGCCAGAAAATGCTGAAATACACAATCTACCAAAAAATGGCAGAAAGTTTGATGGTTTAAGTATCACAACTATGAAGATAAACACATCAGCTATGAAGATAAACACAAATCCAGTTGTCTACTAACAAGTTGCTTTAAATAACACAAACAACAACAGTTGAATCTTCATTGTTCAGCAACTGTGGTAGTGAAGACAAACAACATTTGAATAGAAATGAAAAACAGGTTGTGAAAATAAACAACAGTGGAATCTTCATTGTTCACTAAACGCGCTACATATTATCACTCTAGTTCTTGAAGGTATGAACTGAACTGTGTATCATTATAGTATTTCTATGCACTAAACTGACTGACCAAAGATACACAGAACCAAATTAACTGTCAAAAGAAATATTTGAGAACCAAATCATTATTCACTCCAATAAAATGAAATTCCTTCTCTAAATGTTGTATACCTAAACAGATTATACATATGTCAATAACATAAAAGTGATTAATGATTACAAAACAATACTAATTTTAAATAAAAAATTTGCCAATTGAGAAACATTATAACTGAATACTGCTTTTAAAACATTATTATAAAAGAAACTTCAAACTCATTTGAACCAGGTTGTTGTGAAAAACATAGATCAATTACACAAAAACATGGTTGCTTCTAAGTCTGACAAAATGTAAAGAAATAAAGATATGAAGATAACTAACACAGAACCAGCGATAAAACTAAAGACAATGACATGTTTTAAGTCTAATGAGTTGCCGAATGTTTTACGAATATACAGATTGTTATGGTCTTTTAGAGAAGATCATTAGTGCAGTGTTAACAAAGATTGTCCAAAATTCAGATGCAGACCTCAATATTTTATTCACCTCGTTATTCACCTCTTTATCATCGTGATCACCATCATCACCCAAAAGGTAATTCCCCTAGACTCTTTAGTCCAATATCCCCGTCCACTGATTGAACGCAAAGTACTTTCAAAGTTCTTCATATAAACTTTTCATGGACCCCAATTTTTGGTTTATGAATTTAGCCACAAAATCTGAGGGAAAGGGTCATTTGTCTTTTTTCTATCAAGAATCAGTTAAGTCAAAGAAGTTGGTATATACATGTATAGTATCAAATATATGAACATGTAGGTCACATGGACAACATGTGAACGTCAAGCGATGGCCATCCATTGATATATGCTCATCTACTGTAACACTATACTAATAGTTAAAGGTATTTGAATTGACCTTTTTAATGTTAGTTTAAAGCAAAGACTATGAGACCAGATTGAGAGTACCTCCAATCATAATAATCATAATATGTCAAAAACTGATTTCATGTCGGATATGTTACACTTGACTCTCATGTGTGCAGATAAAGTATTCAATATAATCGTAACATTTTCAGTTCTCAGCTTCCCTGGATCATCGGAGACAAAATTTTGTATCTGATTTTGCACTTCAATCCAGCTACAGCCAGGTAGCTTTCCAGCTCTTCTCTCCCTCATTAGCACCCTTAATCTTTCAACCTCTTCCCACCTGCCAGCCTCAGCATGCATGTTTGACAAAGTAATATAATTAGAGGCATTATGCGATTCGAGTTCTAACAGCTTCATAGCTGCAATTTCACCAAGTTCCATGTTCTTGTGTACACGACAAGCTGCGAGCAATGAACCCCATAATCCAGCATTTGAGTTCACTTTCATCCCTCTCACTATGTCGAACGCTTCCTCTAACCTACCCATGCGGCCAAGCAAGTCAACTAGGCAGCTGTAATGTTCAGCCAAAGGTTCAATAGCAAAATCTTCAATCATGCACTTAAATAAATCCAAACCCTGATTGGCTAAACCGGCATGACAGCAAGCTGACAACATTCCAATAAAGGTAACCTCATCAGGAACCATCCCTTCGGATAACATCTGTTCAAAGGCCCAAAATGCCTCATTTGCATATCCATTCAAAGCATAGCCCGAAATCAAGGAATTCCAAGAAATAAGATCAACACAGTCAATATCTTTAAACATTTGTTCAGCACTTTCTACTCTTCCGCATTTTGCATACATGGTAATCAGAGCATTGCTAACAAACAAATCATTTATATAGCCACTTTTCAGGATGAATTCATGGAGTTGCTTGCCTACTTGCAAAGCAGCAAGATTAGCACATGCACTTAACGAACATGCAAAAGTTGATTGATCAGGTTTCTTTCCTTCCCGCGCCATCAAAACGAAACTCTTAAGGGCATCCAAGTATAAACTATTTTGAAGAAAACCCGTAATAAGAGAATTCCAGGAAACAGTATTCCTCTCCCCAATAGCCTCGAAGATCTCTGCTGCTCTATCCATCTGTCCTACCTGAGCAAATCCAGAAATCATAGTATTCCACGAAACAGCATTCTTAACTGGCATTTTTTTAAATAGATTGAAAGCTTCAACCATTCTTCCACTCTGGCAATAGCCTGCGATCATGCTGTTCCAACAAATAGCATCACGTTTACCGAGTTGACTGAAAACTTGACTTGCCTCATCTACCCTTCCATTCTGTATTAATCCTGACATTAACGCTGTTTTCGCCGCTATGTCTTTGTAAGGCATATGATTGTAAACTTCACGTGCTTCATCAAGCTTACCAACCCGAACATACCCATTAATTATTGTAGTCCATGACACACAATCTTTATACGTCATTTCTTTGAACAGCTTAACAGCTTCGTCAATTTGCAAGTCTTGGACATAGGCTGCAATCATCGCATTCCAAGAAACCACATTCTTACAAGGCATTCTGTCAAAGAGTTTCCTAGCCTCTAAAATCTTCCCGTGTCTAGCAAACCCACACAACATTGTAACCCAAGAAACAGCATTAGGATCTGGAATTTTTTCAAAAAACTGCCAAGCAGAACTCAAGTCACAACTATTAACAAACCCAGCCACCATCAAATTCCACGAAACCACATTCCTCTCAACCATCCTCTCGAAAAACCGCATTGCCAAACTCATTTTCCCATTCTGTGTATAACCAGCTAACATAGAGTTATAAGAAACCAAATCCTTTACAGGCATCTCCTCAAAAACTTTCTCAGCATCATTAAACCGACCCTTCTTTGCATAGCCAGCAATCACCGCATTCCAACAAGCAGTGTCCAACTTATCAGGAACCAACTCAAGCAACTCTCTAGCCTTTTCAAGCTCACCTTTACGCGTAAAGCAAGTAATCATCAAAGCCCACGAAAAATTGTCTCTTTCAGGCATTACATCAAACAACTTATTGGCTTCTTCAACCATGTTGTTATGAAGATACCCAGCAATCATGGTGTTCCATGAAATAATGTTTCTATGCGACATTTTATCAAACAGTTGTTGTGCCTCATTAACTCTGCCATTTTTCGCAAACACGGTTATCATGGAGTTGTATGTGGCATGGTTTTTGTGGATGATATTTGAGAATACTTTTCTGGCTTCTTCAACTTTTCCTTGTTTTCTGGCTACGTAAACGTATAAGATTGCTGGTTGTCGTTCTTCTAGGCTTTAAAATATCATCTTTTTTTTACTTATCAAATGTTTTCTTTAATGGTCAGGAAAAATATTCCAAGGAGAAGTTACGGTGTCAGAGTTCTAGATGAAAATTGTTGATATCTCATTGATGCATTACAGTCAAGGCAATTAGAGGCCACAAATTCACAATACCATGGTTATGGATTAAGAATATAATCTGCTGTTTAAAAATTGATGCACAGGCTGTGGATATGATGTTTCACATTTGTTGATTGTTATTTACATATTTTACTCTTAAAAAAATGTTGTAGTTGACAATAGACCATGGTTGAGAGACTTTGGCTCATAGTGATCCTTATGTGTTGATTTCTTTGTTAAATATTGTAGTTGGTAGAACTTTGGTGATTTACAATACTGAGAATCCTGTTTGGGATCAAACTTTTATGTTCCTGTTGCACATAATGGGATTAAAGTGCATTTTGTTGTTAAGGATAATGATGTGTTGGTTCATAATTTATTGGTGTTGTGGCGATTTCGGTGGAGCAGATATATACTGAAAAAATAGAAGGGACTTATCCTATCCTTAATTTTGTTCAAATTTGTGATACTTGAACTAAATTTTGTTAAATGATATTGATTGAGAAATACCAATATATTTTTTACTTTTTTTATATATGGTTGTTTGTTTGTATGTTTGTTCATTTACAAGTTCTAGACTTTTATTATATCTTTTATATATGGAATGAATTATAGACACTAATTTTTATTATATTTCTTGTAGTATCTTTATTTTTGTGTTTTACAATGTTATTTTGTGTTGTATTATTTACTATTTCGTTTTTCTATTTGAGTATTTCATGCAAGCAAGATCTTATCAAATCCATTCATGGCGTTTAGTGAATTGCATCAATTATTGTCACACCACTGTGAGATTCCAATCCATAATCATATTGTTTTTGTGCATCAACATTGTTGACTTTAGAAGGTTCATATAATAATAGATATTTAGAATCCACCATGGAGATACATTGCTTATTTTGCTTTCTTAAAGTTGGAACATATTACTCATTTTTTCTCTCATACCCGTGCGGACGCACGGGTCTTTACTAGTGTATTTCTGTGTAATAATTATTTAGGGGCAATTTGGACAAAAACTAGATTTAATACCCCAATTTCACATGAATGATTTTATATCAATTATGCCCCTCTTACAAGAGCCATTTGAACTCATAGCATGAGATGCATTTTCCACGCACCCTAATATCACTTAGGAGCAATGGATTCAGAAAAATAACTTGAATTTTATGTGGTTTAGAAGTACATTTCCATAAACATTAGTAGTTTTATGGAAATGCGAGGATGGGGAAAGTTGCAGCCCAAATCGTGGATAGTGCATAGGGGTTCATACAAAATTTTTCAGCAAATTATCATCTTTGCTTTAAAGGTTTTAGTAGGGATGACAACGGGACGGAGATGGGGGAAATTTAACTATATCGGTACCCGCATCCATCTCCATTAATACATTGGCTCTCTCGCTCTCAAATTTAACCGGTGGTAAAAGTTTTACCACCTAGATCCACCTCCGGTAGAAAAAATATGCACTAAATCCGTCCCGCCTCCACCTGCAAAAAAAAAATTAATTTTTTTTAATTATAATAAAAATTAATAAATTAATTAATTATTTAATTAAAATTTTAATTAATAAATGAATATTAACTTGATTAATTTAATTATTTTAATTATTTTAATTGTAATAAAAGTATCAATAATTTAATTAAAAATATAATTAATAAATAAATATTAAAATAAGTAAAATAAGCGAATTAAATTAAAATGTATTATTTGGAGACGGAGCAAGGGTGAGTCCGGGCGGGTCGGGGCGGTAAAAATTGGGTTTTCTCCGCACTCGCACCCAATTAAATCGGGTTTTCCCCGTTAATTTCGGTGCGGACTCGAGCGAGTGCGGGCGGATCCAAGTTTGTTTGCCATCGCTAAGCTTTGGAGCATTGTCATGAAGAAACTTTCCCAAAAACTTAAGTTATTAAGTGAATATGGTATACATGAATTGTTTTCTTTTTTATAATTATTTTTTCCATCGAGTCTCTTTTATATAGATAAATTTGTGAAGATTGGATGGCATTCAAGGCCCTTTTTATGTGGTACCGGATGTGTTTTCAATAGAACTGCATTATATGGTTCATCTATGAAATTACATATACTTTATTAACCCTTTTTATTTTCATGATCATTTATAAAATTCTTTGGTGTGAGTTTTGATGTATCCGTATTTATAGAAGCTTTCATCTTCGTACTTATCCTAATTGTTGGTTTAGCTTATGCATGACAAAAGGGAGCATTAGAATGGTCTTAATTCTTGAATATTTAGACAATTAAACAAAACATTGAGACAGTTATGAATTCCATTGAGTTTCCCTTACTTGATCAAAAAATAAAAAATTAAGTTATTTCTACTACATTAAATGATTTTTCAAATTGGTCAAGACTATCTAGTTTATGGCCGCTTCTCTATGTACTAGTTGTTGCTTCATTGAATTTGCATCTAGTTATTGACATGGGAAAGATTGACGAAGATTAGAGATCCAATAAAATATATGTGATTCAATCCCTCTTCGTTCGTTTTGAATTTTGCCCCGGTTTCGTTTAAATGGAATTGAATTAATACTTCAATTCCATTGCTATTAATAATTATTAGAATTCTTAACAGTCAGACCAGAAATGGAATTATTAAGGGTAGGGGCAATAATATCATAAAAGATATTTAATAAAAACTGAAATACTATACTGTGATTCAAAATATATTTCGAAAGCATTGTAGTAGTGAATTATTACTGTACTATATAAAATGAATTGGAACGAAATATTTCAGAATTTTATTTTGACTTATCAAATTATATTTTTTTTCGTTCCTTTTTTCTTCTTCCCTTCGAATCTTAAAATCGAAGAGTTAAATGAATAAAAAAAAAATCAAAGGAGGCTCATGAGTAAGGGTAAAGATATTCGAATAACTGTTTTTTAGAATGTACTAGTTGTGATAAAAAAGAGTGTTAATAAGGAATCTAGAGGTATTTCTTGAGATATTACTCAAAAGAATCGACACAATATGTCTAGTCGATTGGAATTGAGAAAATTTTGTCCCTTTTGTTGCAAACATATGATTCAGGCAGAGATCAAGAAATAGAGAAAATAGCTTACTTGTGTATTACCCTTAGGAGGTAAATTGAAAAAATTAAATAACACAAAAATGAATTATATAGATTCCAGAGAAATTATCTTATCTATATTCTATAAATAAAATTCTATAACATGAAATTATATACATATATCATTATATAGCATTTATTTCTTTATATAACAAATAAAATTTATTACAAAAAAAAAGAAAATATATATAACTAAAACAAATCTTTTTTTATAACAAACATAATTTTCGGTATAGGAATAAACAAATCAGGGATAAATCTAAGCGACTGTTTGTTAAATAGAAGAAGACGAAATCAATTCGTATGAGGTTGCCCCTAATCCAATCTGGGGATCGAATTGATTATAAAAACTTGTCACTCGAGAAGGCAAAACATGAGGTAATCCAGCCACACCTTCCAGTACGGCTACCTTGTTACGACTTCACTTCAGTCACTAACCCTGCCTTTGGCATCCCCCTCCTTGCGGTTAAGGAAACGACTTCGGGCAAGGCCAACTCCCATAGTGTGACGGGCGGTGTGTACAAGGACCGGGAACGAATTCGCCATTGTATGGCTGACCGACGATAACTAGCGATTCCGGTTTCATGTAGGCGAGTTGCAACCTACAATCCGAATAGAGGACGGGTTTTTGAAGTTTGCTCACCCTCGCAGGGTCGCGGTCCTTTGTCTCGTCCATTGTAGCACGTGTGTGGCATAAGGGGCATAATGACTTGACGTCATCCTCACCTTCCTCCGGCAGTCTGTTCAGAGTTCCAAACAAAGGCAACTAAACACGAGGATTGCGCTCGTTGCGGGACTTAACCCAACACCTCACGGCACGAGCTGACGACAACCATGCACCACCTGTGTCGCATTCCCGAAGGCACTCCTTCTCTTTCAAATCGACATAATTTTCCGAATAAAAAGGAAAACGAAAATAATATGCTCAGTATAAATCCTAGAGAAAATAAAAAATAAAGACCAATTAAATAGATAAACAGAATCATAAACAAAGTTCAGGTTGGAATTCCATAAATAATATAGATAGTTTGTCTATAATCTGGATGACTGGGTTGATCTTAAAAATTCAATCATTGAAATTTAAAAACAATTGAATTGATTGGATGGTACCAAGAAAATCAATTATTAAATTACATTTATTATTCCATATTTTTTAATTATTAAATATTTTATTAAATATGAATTAATACATTTCATTTGTTATTAAATATTCAAAAAAATGAACCAATTCACTTGCTTTCTTCTCGAACATTTTTTTTCTTAATTTGAATTATTTTTTTTTGAAAAAAAAAGAAGATATTTTTCAATATGACGATAAATCCTCCCCCTTCTGATACTGAGGTTTCTGCACTTGAAAACAAAAATCTGGGGTATCCGTTGCACCTACTTCTTCAGACGGAACTCCAAGTTGAGGAGTTATTCGGAATGCTGCCAAGATATCAGTATCTTTGGTTTGATAGTCAGGAGTATAATAAGTCAATTTATAATCTTTAACACCAACTTTGAACTGTTAATTAATCGTTGGTTTTTTTTGGGACATGTATCATTTAATGATTTATATGAATCCCTGATCTTTCTTTCGTGAGGTTTTTCAATTTTTCATATGTTTTTTTTTTAAAAAGGAGAAAAATCTTTTAAGTACAACAATTGCACCAAGTGTTATTTTTACTCAAGCCTTTGCCACTTCGG